GGGGGTGGACAACGGAGGTGTGGGAAGAGGTGGGTGAAGGTCTGAGAAGGTCCAAGAAGGTCTCTCAGAGGTGGAGGAGGAGAAGGAGGAGCCACAGTTGGGTTTGAGGGTCGGCCAATCAGAACCTGTAGGACGTGGGGGGGTGGACAACGGAGGTGTGGGAAGGGTTGGGAGATGTCTGGAGGTCCGAGAAGGTCAAGAAGGTCCCTCAACCATGGATGGGGAGGAGAAGAGACGCAGCAGTTGGGTTTGAGAGCGGTGAGAACCTGTAGAACGTTAGTGATGGACAGTGGATGTCTGGGAAGGGTTTGGAGGTGGCTGAAGGTCCAAGAGGAAACGAGAAGGTCCCTCAAATGTGGGTTGGGAGGAGAAGAGACGCAGCGGTTGGGTTTGAGAGCGGTACAGTTGGCTAACCAGCAGCTGGAGAACATTGGTGATGGACAGCGTAGATCTTGGAAGGGTTGGGAGGTGTGTGAAGGTCCGAGAAGGTCAAGAAGGTCCTTCAAGCATGGATGGGGAGGAGAAGAGACGCGGCAGTTGGGTTTAGGAGTAGTACAGTTGACCGACCAGCAGCTGTAGGACGTTGGGGATGGACAACAGAGATCTGGGAGGGGTTGGGACCCGTCTGGAGATCTGAGAAGGTCAAGAAAGTCCCTCAAATGCGGGTGGGGAGGAGAAGAGACGCAGCAGTTGGGTTTGAGAGTGGTTTTCATTGGCCAGTGAGAACCTGTAGAACGTTGGTGATGGACAACGGAGGTCTGGGAAGGGTTTGGAGGTGGCTGAAGGTTCAAGAAGGAATGAGGAGGTTCTTCAAATGTGGGTTGGGAGGAGAAGAGACGCAGCGGTTGGGTTTGAGAGCTGCACAGTTGGCTAACCAGCAGCTGGAGAACATTGGTGATGGACAATGTAGATCTTGGAAGGGTTGGGAGGTGTGTGAAGGTCCGAGAAGGTCAAGAAGGTCCTTCAAGCATGGATGGGGAGGAGAAGAGACGCGGCAGTTGGGTTTGAGAGCTGTACGGTTGGCCAATGAGAACCTGTAGAACGTTGGTGATGGACGTGGAGGTCTGGGAAGGGTTTGGAGATGGCTGAAGGTCTTCTTCAAAGCAGCTGATGGAGAGGAGAGAGGTGGCAGTTGGGCGTGAGAGCCATCCAGTTGGCCAACCAGCGTCCGTAGACCACGGTTGAGAGACGGAAAGACCTGGGACTGGTTTGGGGACTTCGGGTGGGGGTGCACGGGTGGGAGAGGACCTTCTCAGCCACCGTCCCGCCCTCCCCCAGGTTGAACCACGCCATCTTCACCCCGTCGTTGACCAAGCTGTGCAACAAGACGTGGCCGGCGGACATCCACCTGGTTGGGGACTTCTCCTCCTCGGCCCAGTTCTTCGTCACGGTGGCCGTCTTCGCCTTCCTCTACAGCATGGCCGCCCTCGCCGTCTACTTGGCCTACCTCCGCCTCTACCGTGGGGCCGGTGGGAAGCTGCCCTTGGTGGTGAGTCCATCCTGGCCTTCATCCATCCATCCGTCCGTCCATCCTGGCCTTCATCCATCCATCCGTCCGTCCATCCTGGCCTTCATCCATCCATCCGTCCGTCCATCCTGGCCTTCTGCGTCCATCTGTCCATCCGTCCGTCCTGGTCTTCTCCATCCGTCCATCCTGGTCTTCTCCGTCCGTCTATCCATCCATCCATCCTGGTCTTCTCTATCCGTCCATCCATCCATCCTGGCCTTCTCCGTCCATCCATCCTGGCCTTCTCCATCCATCCATCCATCCATCCGTCCATCCTGGTCTTCTCCATCCGTCCATCCTGGTCTTCTCCGTCCGTCTATCCATCCATCCATCCTGGTCTTCTCTATCCGTCCATCCATCCATCCTGGCCTTCTCCGTCCATCCCTCCTGGCCTTCTCCATCCATCCATCCATCCATCCGTCCATCCTGGTCATCTTCATCCATCCATCCCGTTCTTCTCTATCCATCTTGGTCTTCTTCATCCGTCTTGGTATTCTTTTCCATCCATTGCTCCATCCATTTTGGTCTTCGTCCATCTCTCCATCCATCCTGGTTTTCTCCATCCATCCATCCTGATCTTCTCTATCCATCCATCCGTCTGTCCTGGCTTTTTCTATCCATCCTGGTCTTCTCCATCTATCCGTCCATCCCGGTCTTCTCCATCCATCCATCGCTCCATCCTGGTCTTCTCCATCCATCCTGGTCTTCTCCATCCATCCTGGTCTTCTCCATCCATCCATGTATCCATCCTGGTCTTCTCCATCCATTCTGGTCTTCGTCTATCCATCCGTCCATCCTGGTCTTCTCCATCCATCCATCTGTCCTGGTCTTCTGCATCCATCCATCCATCCCGGTCTTCTCCGTTTGTCTGTCTGTCCATCCTGCTCTTCTCCATCCATCCATCCATCGTGGTTTTCTCCATCCATCCATCCATCCATCGTGGTTTTCTCCATCCATCCATCCATCCATCGTGGTTTTCTCCATCCATCCATTGTGGTTTTCTCCATCCATCCATCCATCGTGGTCTTCTCTATCCATCCGTCCATCGGGGTCTTCTCTAGCCATCCCTGCTGGTCTTCTCTATCTGTCCCGGTCTTCTCCATCCTTCCATCCATCCAACCGTCCATCCATCCTGATCTTCTCCCTCCATCCACCCATCTATCTCCTGCCCCACGGTTCCCTGAAGACCACTTGGTTGACCTACAGCTCCCTTGACGGCTTGTAGGTTCTCTAGAAGGTGGCCCCGTTGCTTGGACTACAACTCCCAGCAGCCTCTGGGGCTCCCCGCCTCCTTCTGAGCCATCACGGGACTTGTAGTCTTGGTCCTCCCACCCCATATGTGGGGTGAGGGACCCATGGTGGGGGAGGAGAGGGGGATTTTGGGGGGCGGGGGACAGTTTTGGAGG